AATGCACTGGCTTAGTAACCTCAGATTTTGCAGGGAGGTTGTCCTTGGGCTCTAAATGGTCACTGTTGATTCTGACAAACTGGTAGGCAGTGGTCTTCACGCATGACAGTGGCAGTTCTAGTTTTAGTTTGAGAAAGTCAAATTTGTAGGATTACTAGTCACATTATTGTTTGTTTGATTTTAATTGTTTTCTAAATAATTTGAAATAAACGACTTTTTATTTACATGAACACTACTAATAATAACAAGTTAGGGATCAAATAAGTTTTGACAACTAAAGAAATGCAAAAAACAAATGTTTAGGGCCACTAACTTTTACAGAAAATAAGCAGAATTGTCAAATAAAGACAAAAAGACAAAAAAGTAATCACACATGAATCAGATCGAAAAAAATTGAATTGGGATGTCTAAAATCGAAATCCAATTGAATCGAACTTTTGGTGTATTGTTGCAGCCCTATCCATCCGTTCTCATGTTGTGTCGCATGTAACTCTTTAAAGACATTTTCTACAGTTTTATGAAAATTAAATCCTTTCATAGAATTTTCTAAATTTTTTGTATGATAAGTAAAATTTAATGGCGAATTCAAAAATAAAAAGAAAAATATATGTTGACGTGTTGGATTTCTTGTAAAATGGCAGTTTCCATGGTAACCGTATATCTCAAAACTGTCAAAATAGCCAAACTGTGTTATAACAAATAGAAAATGTATAAGATAGCTTAATACACACAACAAGCATTGATTTATGCAAAGATAACCTTATCCAATGATTCTGTATGAAACAAATGATAATCTGAACATATTTCTTTAAAAAATGAGTTTTCCATGTTCCTTAACCGAACAAAAAATGAGAAAAATAAACATGAATTCTGTGAATAATTAAAGATATTGAAAAATTTCTTTCATAGGATTTTCTAATTTTTTTGTATGTTGTGTAAAATTTAATGACGAATTCAAAAATGAAAAGAAAAATATATGTTGGCGTGTTGGATTTTTTGAAAAATGGCAGTTTCCATGGTAACCGTATATCTAAAAATTGTCAAAATAGCCAAATTGTGTTAAAAAATGTATAAGACAGCTTATTACACAAACAATAAACATAATTTTATACAAAGCTTGCTTTATTTTAGTGTTCTGAATAACACAAACGATAATTGGAACATATTTCTTTTTAAAAAAATGAGTTTTTCATGCTTTTTAACTAAACAGAAAATGAGAAAAATAAACATGAATTCTGTAAAAAATTAAAGCTATTAAGAAATTTCTTTCATAGAATTTTCTACATTATTGATATATCAAGTAACATTAAATGGTAGATTCAAAAATAAAAATATATGTTGACGTGTTAGTTTTTTCTAAACGAGCAGTTTCCATGGTTACCGCATATGCCAACGGTCAAAATTACCAAGCTTTCTTAAGAAATATCAGTGATATACTAAAAGTATAATATAGTATGTCGAATATACAAAAAAAGCATATTGTAATAAAAATTTCTTTTTTATGCCCCCGCCATATAATGGCAGGGGCATATAGTGTTACCCTGTTCCGTCATTCCGTCATTCCGTCATTCCGTCCTTCCGTCATCATCAGTTTCCGTTCATTATCTTAATAACCCTTGCACATATTGAACTCAAATTTGACATATGGATATGTCATGAGAAAATACAGGTCAAGTTCGAAATTGGTCATGGTTCGATGATTTTTGGCAGAGTTATGCCCCTTTTACATTGAAAATAATATGAAATTTTCAGTTTCCGTTCATTATCTCCCAAACAGTTCAAAACATTCAATTCAAAATTGACATATGAAAATGTCATGAGAAAATACAGGTCAAGTTCGAAATTGGTCATGGTTTGATGATTTTTGGCAGAGTTATGCCCCTTTTACTTTGAAAATAATATGAAATTTTCAGTTTCCGTTCATTATCTCCCCAACGGTACAACACATTCAACTCAAACTTGACATATTGATATGTCATGAGAAAATACAGGTCAAGTTCAAAATTTGGTCATGGTTCGATGATTTTTGGCAGAGTTATGCCCCTTTTACTTTGAAAATAATATGAAATTTTCAGTTTCCATTCATTAACTCTCCCAATGGTACAACACATTCAACTCAAACTTGACATATGGATATGTCAAAGGAATGCGCAGGTCAAGTTCAAATTTGGTCATGGTTCAATGATTTTTGGCAGAGTTATGCCCCTTTCACTTTGAAAATAATATGAAATTTTCAGTTTCCGTTCATTATCTCCCCAATCGTACAACACATTTAGCTCAAACTTGACATATCGATACGTCAAAGGAATGCGCAGGCCAAGTTCAAATTTGGTCATGGTTCGATGATTTTTGGCAGAGTTATGCCCCTTTTACTTTGAAAATAATATGAAATTTTCAGTTTCTGTTTATTATCTCCCCAACAGTATTAAACATTCAACTCAAATTTGACACATTGATACGTCAAAGGAATGCGCAGGTCAATTTCAAATTTGGTCATGGTTCGATGAGTTTTGGCAGAGTTATGCCCCTTTCACTTTAAAAATAATATGAAATTTTCAGTTACCGTTTATTATCTCCCCAACAATATTACACATTCAACTCAAATTTGACATATGGATATGTTTTTGGAATGCGCAGACCAAGTTCGAATCTGGTCATGGTTCAATGATTTTTGGCAGAGTAATGCCCCTTTGACTTTGAAAATGATATGAAATTTACAGTTTCTGTTCATTATCAACCCAACAGTGTTACATATTTAACTCAAAATTGACATATGGATATGTCAAAGGAATGCGCAGGTCAAGTTGGAATTTGGTCATGGTTCGATGATTTTTTGGCAGAGTTATGTCCCTTTCACTTTGAAAATAATATAGATACATCTTAGGAATAAGCAGTTTAAGTTTGAATTTGGTCGTGGTTCAATGATTTTAGACAAACTTATCTTTCCTGAATGTTGGAAAAATTTTGAACTTTCAGTTTCAGCACTCGTACTTTTGTGGAAATGTATGCAATATGCTATTTTTAAAAGGTTAAGACTGAATAATTTCAGTGCCTTGAACATTGTATAAAAATGGTTAAGACTGAATAATTTCAGTGCCTTGAACATTGTATAAAAATGGTTTGTGTTAACATTGAAAAGTTTTAAGGGCTTTGAACTTAGAATGAAAAAAATAATTTGTGCAAACAAATTCGGAACTAAATATTATAACATTTGAAATTTTGGCTGCATGCGGGGGCATCCGTGGCATGATGACACATTTCTAGTCTTTTGATGCTATATTAAGTAAATGATACTGAATATGTTTTTAAAACATATTTAGGTCCATATTATTTTTTCACTCGACTTATATACCCGAACAGTAAGCAAGTATTCAGAAATTTTCAAAGAAAATAATGAATTCGGAACATTTCTTAGATATTCATTTTGATTTTTATTCAACACTTTTAAAATATATCACTTTAAACTTCTTTGCCTAGTTGTCTGCCAGTAATCAAGTGGCGACGCACTTTCGTCACTATACCACAAGTGGGTGGGGTAACGCGCGCAGAATTATCATCAATGCTGTCGTACTAATTCTAGGAGAAATCCTTTATCTGAATGTTGTCTAAACGACCTCTTATTCTTTTGAACTGATCTCCTCCTGAACATTTGGAAATATCTATTCTGTATTATTTACTCATTATTTGCTTATAGCCGAAATTTAAACACTTATCCGAATACTATTCAACTTGACCTTTTTGAAGAGTAATTATCCATGATTATCTTTCTTGGAAGCGCATAACGATGCGCACAGAAAACTACCGAAAACGTCTTTAAATGCTGTAGTCAACAGACATAACAGGAATGTTGATCAGCATGTGAAGTAATGTTTAACGTGTGGATTTATCTAGTTATTGCCCTTGACTTAGTAAAAATTTGTCATTTTCGATTTGTGTTGTTTCTGTCACTATTAGTATTACTATTTCTATGCTATGCACTTATTTAATGTAAATACATGTTGGCATCAATAGGTTTAGTGTTACCATTTATGTTCTTCAGTATTCAACATAAAAAAAATAAAATCGTCTCAATTTCATATGTGAATTTGATAGAGGGGTGAAAAGTGGGCCAAGAAGGAATACAATTCCTCACTACGATGTGGAAATGTCATCAATATATCTACACCATATGAGTGGTTCTAATTGTTGAGTGGCAAGAAATCCCTCTTCTAAGTACGCCATGGATAAAATAGTATAACTCTGGGCACCAAAGTCAATATGTGCTTCTTCCCACTGTATTTGTAAAAGTGAGCTGTGGTGTTAGGTTGATTCTTAATGATTTTGGGATGAATTTTGTACTTGTGCACTTTTCTTAGTATAAAATATTATGTTGTGTTTGGGTCTTTTGAATATGAAGTTTCTTTAAGACTTTAAATCTTGAAAATATTGATTTTTGTGTCGCCTCTACGGAGTAGTGGCGAAATATAGGGATCACTTCTCTGTCGTCTGTCTGTCCATCTGTCTGTCTGTCGGTCTGTCCATCGGTCCGTCACAAAACTTGTCCGGACTACTATAATTGTGCATATTGTCAGCAATTTCCAGTTCAATGATTTTTGTAAGAGTTATGGCCCTTTAATAATTTTATTTTTAAAGTTTGTCCAGACTACTTCTCTTATACCACAAATGCAATTTCAATGAAACTTTACAGGATTGATCTGTAGCTCAAGTCCTTGCGCATATTGCACGGGTTTTCCGGTTGAATGATTTTTGGCCGAGTTATGGCCCTTTGGTAAAAAGGTGTTTTTTTTTCTGTGTGTTGCCAGATACACAAAAGCTTGTCCGGACTACTCCTCATAAACTACTGGTGCAATTTTATCCAAACTTTACAGGAATGACCAGTACCAAGTCTAGTTGTGCACTGTCCATCTGTCTGTCCATCTGTCACAAAACTTGTCCCAATATGAAATTGGCCATTATGAGGCGACACATGTGATCACTGATCGCTCTTGTTTGTTTGATAGTGGGTCCCTTGCAGAGCTGATTGAAAAGACATCTGGATCCAAGAAGAGGTCATCAAAGGAACTTAATCTGTCAGAAATAGCCAACTCTTGTGGTTAGTCTTCTATTATATTTATCTGCTAACATTGATTATGTAGACACTGAATTATTAGAGAATGTTTGACATGGCAAGATTTCAATTGCCAGCAGCATCTGTAATGGGGTGGCATATAGGTATTCACTTCTTTGTGTGCATGTGTGTGCGTCTTTTACATAGATTATATAGTGAACTTAAAAATATTCCACTTAAAAATAACTTTGATTTTCAAACTTGCTCAAAAGTTTAAAAATCTACTTTTAGCACTGGTGTCACCTTGACCCAGAAACCCTAACTCAATCCAAAGAGAGAAGACCATGAACCAAATATAAAAAAAAATCAGTCAAAAAAATAACAGCTGCATGGGCAAAAGTGTAAAATCCTTTTATTAGCACTGGTGACCTTGACCCACTGACCCCTACCTCGATCAAAAGGGAGAATACTATGCAAGTTATCTTCCTGCCAAATATGAAATACATCTGTCAATAAGTCAAGACTGTATGGGCAAAAGTGTAAAAAATATTTTTAGCACTGTGACCTTTACTCAACTGACCCCTAACTATATTCAAAGGTTTTATGTTCCTACCAAATATAAAAGACATCTGTCAATAGAATATGGTTACACCTGTCCATATTAAAAATGAAATACATTTGTAAAGAATATAATTGGTATGCCATTGTCTGTGTGTATATCGATGTCTGTTGAACTTACAAAATTTTCAGTTTTTCCATTTTTTTTAGCTCAACTTTTTTTTTTTTGAAAAAAAAAGTAGAGGTATTGCTATAGTCGCGGCGGCGTTGCCGTTCCAGTCCGCAAACTTGTACCTAGATCATAACTTCTTTATTTCTTGGTGTATTGTCTTCATACTTGGCCACAACAACCCTTGGGACAAGACCTTTCAGTAGACCACACTAACCTTGACCTTCATCCATAAATGACCTTGACCTTCAAGGTTAAAAGTCCAAATTTTGCTTGTTCATGCTGTTATTGGCTGTAACTTTGTTATTTTTGAATGGATTGTCTTCAAACTTGAACATAATAATCTTCAAGAATATCCCTTAAAAATAACCAGACAGACCTTGACCTTCACTTATAAATGACCTTAACTTTAAAGGTCAAATTATTGAAATTTTCATTTTTTTTGGCTATTATTGGCTGTAACTTTGTTAATTTTGAATGGATTGTCTTCAAATTTGAACATAATAATCTTCAAGGATAACCCTGAAGGTCAAATTATTGAAATTTTCATTGTTTTGGCTGTAACTGACTGTAACTTTGCTATTATTGAAGGGATCAACTTCATATTATAACAGAACATTCTTAAGGACCAGACCTTGTTGTTTATCAAACCCAAATTAAATTGGGCTCTTTATATACAGTAAAATTCCTAATAAACGCCCCTCCCCTAATAAAGGCCCTCCCAGGCCTTTTGATAAGGAAAACAATCTACTTATCAGTGCTGAACTCATAATTAAAGCCATAATTTTATTCAAATCATTCAGAATCCATAGAATTTTATAATAAACACAAATATGTATAATATAAACTTTAAAACCTTAATACTTTTTAATGTTATTACCAACACTTGCTAACACTAAATGTATTTACAGTGATTTTTGGATTTAGGAAAAACTGTATTGTAATAATAGCCCCCCTTTTGGAAAATGTTAGCCCCCGGGGGCTTTTAATAAGAATTTTACGGTATATATATAGATATCTAGCATCATCATCATCATCATCAAGAACAACAACGTGTATCTATTTATAGAATTGCGTGCATCTTTTTTTAGAAATGCTTGTTTCTATTTTTATAATTGCGTGTTTCTATTTATAGCATTGCTTGATTCTATTTTTAGAATTGCGTGTTTCTATTTTTAGAATTGCGTGTGTCTATTTTGAGAATTGCGTGTTAATATTTATAGAATTGCGTGTTACTATTTTTAGAATTGCTTGTTACTATTTATAGAATTGCGTGTTACTATTTTAAGAATTGCTTGTTACTATTTATATATTGCGTGTTTCTATTTTTAGAATTGCTTGTTTTTATTTTTAGAATTGCGTGTTACTATTTATAGAATTGCAGGTTTCTATTTATAGAATTGCGTGTTTCTATTTTTAGAATTGTGTGTTTTTTTTTTAGAATTGCTTGTTTCTATTTTTAGAATTGCTTGTTTCTATTTTTAGAACTGCTTGTTTCTATTTATAGAATTGCGTGTTTCTATTTTGTGTGTTTCTATTTATAGAATTGCGTGTTACTATTTTTAGAATTGCGTGTTTCTTTTTCGAGAATTGCTTGTTTCTATATTTAGAATTGTGTGTTTCTATTTATAGAATTGTGTGTTTCTATTTTCAATATTGCATGTTTCTATTTTTAGAATTGCCTGTTTCTATTTATAGAATTGCGTGTTTCTATTTTCAGAATTGTGTATTCTACTTTTAGAATTGCATGTTTCTATTTTTAGAATTGTGTGTTACTATTTATAGAATTGCGTGTTACTATTTATAGAATTGCTTGTTTCTATTTATAGAATTGCGTGTTTCTATTTTTAGAATTGCATATTTCTTTTTATAGAATTGCATGTTTCTATTTTTAGAATTGTGTGTTTCTATTTTTAGAATTGCGTGTTTCTATTTTTAGAATTGCGTGTTACAATTTTTAGAATTGCATGTTACTATTTTTAGAATTGTGTGTTTCCATTTATAGAATTAAGTGTTTCTATTTTTAGAATTGCGTGTTTCTATTTTTAGAACTGCGTCTTTCTATTTATAGAATTGCGTGTTTCTATTTTCAGAATTGGGTGTTTCTATTTTTAGAATTACATGTTTCTATTCATAGAATTGCGTGTTATTATTTTTAGAATTGCGTGTTGTTTTTTTTAAGTCCCCGCCATGTAATGGCCGGGGCATATAGTGTTACCCTGTTCCGTCATTCCGTCCTTCCGTCATTCTGTCATCATCAGTTTCGTTCATTATCTTAAGAACGGTTGCACACATTCAACTCAAATTTGACATATGGATATATCATGAGAAAATACAGGTCAAGTTCGAATTTGGTCATGGTTCGATGATTTTTGGCAGAGTTATGCCCCTTTTACTTTGAAAATAATATGAAATTTCAGTTTCGGTTCATTATCTCCCCAACGGTACACCACATTCAACTCAAACTTGACATATGGATATGTCATGAGAAAATACAGGTCAAGTTCGAATTTGGTCATGGTTCGATTATTTTTGGCAGAGTTATGCCCCTTTTACTTTGAAAATAATATGAAATTTTCAGTTTCCGTTCATTATCTCCCCAACGGTACAACACATTCAACTCAAACTTGACATATAGATCTGTTATATGAAAATACAGGTCAAGTTTGAATTTGGTCATGGTTTGATGATTTTTGGCAGAGTTATGCCCCTTTTACTTTGAAAACAATATGAAATTTTCAGTTTCTGTTCATTATCTCCCCAAAGGTACAACACATTCAACTCAAACTTGACATATTGATGCCTCAAAGGAATGCGCAGGTCAAGTTCAAATTTGGTCATGGTTTGATGATTTTTGGCAGAGTTATGCCCCTTTCACTTTGAAAGTAATATGAAATTTTCAGTTTCCATTTATTATCTCCCCAATGGTACAACACATTTAACTCAAATTTGACATATGGATATGTTTTTGGAATGCCCAGGCCAAGTTCGAATTTGATCATGGTTCAATGATTTTTGGCAGAATAATGCCCCTTTCACTTTGAAAATAATATGAAATTTACAGTTTCTGTTCATTATCTACCCAACAGTGTTACATATTCAAATTAAATTTGACATATGGATATGTCAAAGGAATGGGCAGGTCAAGTTGGAATTTGGTCATGGTTTGATGATTTTTTGGCAGAGTTATGTCCCTTTCACTTTGAAAATAATATAGATACATCTTAGGAATAAGCAGTAAGATTGAATTTGGTCGTGGTTCAATGATTTTAGACAAACTTATCTTTCCTGAATGTTGGAAAAATTTTGAACTTTCAGTTTCAGCACTCATACTTTTATCCATAATTTTGGCTACAAATATGCAATATGCTATTTTTAACGTTAAGACTGAATAATTTCAGTGCCTTGAACATTGCATGAAAATGGTTTGTGTTAACATTGAAAAGTTTTAAGGGCTTTGTACTTAAAATGAAAAAAAAAATTAATGCACCATCTGAAATTTTGGCTGCATGCGGGGGCATCCGTGGCATGATGACACATTTCTAGTTTAGAATTGTGTGTTTCTATTTTTAGAATTGCGTCTTACTATTTATAGAATTGCGTGTTACTATTTTTAGAATTGCGTGTTTCTAATTTTAGAATTGCGTGTTTCTATTTTAAGAATTGTGTTTTACCTTTTTTAGAATTGGGTGTTTCTATTTTTACAATTGCGTGTTTCTATTTATAAAATTGCGTGTTTCTATTCATAAAATCGTGTGTCACTTTTATAGAATTGCGTGTTTCTATTTATTGAATTGCGTGTTTCTATTTATAGAATTGCGTGTTTCTGTTTATTGAATTGCATGTTTCTATTTATAGAATTGCGTGTTTCTATTCATATAATATATATATATATATATATATAAGTGAGTATTTTTATATACAGTCAACATTGTATTAAGAGACCACTCAAGGGACTGCCAAAAAGTGGTCTCTTAATAAAGTGGTCTGTCAATAGAATTCTGGAAAATTCGAGACTTTTTATTACAAGTCATAGATATAATAACATCTTTTTTATAAAAACAAAAACTATACAATATTATGTATGTATTACCGTTTTATAATTACATTTATGCCCTTTTTTAAAAAAAAAGTCATCAATATTGTTTGTTTTTGATTTTTAGTAGAAAGTGTACAAATGTGATTTACGCTCATAATACTGTAAACAGGTCATTTTGACCATGATACAAAGCATATTGTCTTATATTTTTAATATGTTCATACACATCTCCTGCTGAACATACTTTAGAATCATCAGCCAGAGCTCCAGATAATTATT